ATCCTTTTATTGTCCCACAGTGGGTAAATTGTGGTGTTACAACAGCAAAAGATTACAGCAAAACCTTAAAAACTGTATAAAAATAACAGAATAAGTGACAGAGCTAAAAAAAAACAAAAAAAAAAAACAGTGTAAATGCAGTGTTTTTACAAATATAAATCTCACCTATTTTAAAATCAAGTTACGGGTCTCTTGTTGGTTGTGTATTTGTCACTGGGAAGTTCAAACACTAATAGGGTTTGATTTTAGTAATTTCTTTAGTATTTTTTTCCTTCTTCTGTCATGTCTTACTAGTAGTTCTGTCATGGACATTAACATAGTGAAAAATTATGGCACGGGTGGACAGTTTCAGTTTCTGAGTGTCCAACATCCTGCTACTTTTGGATGGTCCAACACACCTGAAACAAATGGCTGAGTTATCTCCTTAGCACTCAGTGTCTGTGTTTGATTCCGGCAGCTGCATCTTCTTAAGGCCAGATTCGTCATCAAGGCAATTACTGTACATCACAGTGCAGTGGCTTGGTAAAATGGATTAAAAGACTCCTTCATATGCGGTTGACATGTAAAGCCTACTGTTCGCCCGGTATGAAGAACAGGTCCGTTGTATCTTTTATAGCCTTGGGTATCCCATGATTCAGTCTAAGTCCAAGCAAGCCGTCTGCTCCACGCTAAGAGGAAAAAGGGAAATGGCGATGAACAGTTGTGAATATTATATTATAGTGCATCATGATATAATATAAGCATATGAATAATTTCGTCTTGAATTAGTGAAAAAAATAAATTTAAATACAGAGTCAGCAGGAAATGTTTTGTTTATTGGAAAGTTTTATCTGTCCTTGTGCAAATGGGTTTGGCTGACATTTAAGCTCAGATTCCAGTATCTATGCAGTGTGTGAACTACAAGCGACAGTACTGCTGCTGAAACTCCTCAAAAATGTAATTAGCACACAGATCAGTAGTGAGAAGTTCAGTATTCATTCTTTGTCCACTTTTTGAGTCAACTGTCACAGTTGCTAGGTGAGAGAGCTTACGCTTAGCGAGGGACGGTGACACCCTGAGAAAGCTGGACCAGTTTGAATCTATAGCCAAACTCTTCTGACCTCTTTATTTTCATGGCCTTCGAAGGACTCAGTCCAGGTTGGTCCTACAGAGGATGCAGCCGCTGAAATTGTACACACCCAATTTCTCCAGAGTCCTCTTAATTATCTATTGCCTGATTCAGGTGTGTCAGACAAATAAGAAGCAGAATACCAGACAATCAAAGATGGGGGCTATTTTTTTCATTTATAATTTCTGTGAGCACAGCATGATAACTTTTCTTTTAGCAGCAAACAGACACAATTCCTGCCTTTACAGACGGATCAGCTCATTAGATGGTTTAAATTAGCAACTAACTAGCTGTGTCTTTTTCTCTGATGAAACAAGGCTGCTTGAAGCTCTTTAAGTGTTTTTAGTGTTTTCTTTCCCATGACTTTATACCTTTTGCTACAAATGTAAATTGATCTAAAAACAATCCTTGGTTGAACTTCTTGAAATGCTCTATTAAACTGGTCCAAGCACTAGCTAAATGACATATTTTTAGATTCCCCATGTCACCAAATAATCTGAACTGAAAAGGTTTAAAGTGTTCCAGTGTGTCCTCTAAACACTGTTTTTTTTTTTCTTTTTAACAGCTATTTGACCAAGCTGATATAAACACAGTATAAAGGTGTGTCCTTGGATGGTTTTCAGATCTCTTAGAGTTATCATACTTAGCAGGCCTACTGTAAGTTGTAGTAATGGCGGCTGACGGATCCTCTTTAACTCTGAAGTTGGATTTGCTGAGTGCTTTGAGTTATTATCCTTCTGTCCTGGAATGAGCTGTCTTGTCACTTTTGCAGGATTTGACTGAGTCTGAGGCGAAAGTATAGCACTCTAAATGTCAGTGAAAAACAAAACCCTGCAGCCTCTGTCAGAAGTTGCATCATCGTTAAATGCCAACAGTCTGTGATTCCACACTATTGTTAACTTATACATTTCCTTTAGTTCTTTATCAGTTAAACATAATTCAGCTGCCAGTTCATTCGGGTAATTGCACCAACTGCTGAATGTTAATAGGGATATTTTTCATCAAACCATTTGAATAAATGCTGAAAAATGTTTTGAATAAAACATTTTCTGCACCAAACCTGAAAGGTTAGACCGTATTCAAAGCTTGAGTGTTTCATCACATTTCCATTGTGCAGTTTTACAAAAGAATAGAATTGGGAACATAATAACTATATGTATCTCATGACTCCCAGTCACCTCCTTTTCATCTCACTGTGCATGTTGAGCAGTAAAATCAACAGTGGCAACCTGCTGAATGCTAATGCATGTTTTCTCTTCTAACTAAATCTATTTTCTTTTAAAGCTTCTGTGTGACAGTTCTATGAATGCTAAAAAGGACAAATGGCAGAGATAACTGCAAGTTTTTCCACTCTTTTTTTTAAATTAATACAAATTAACAAAAGTATAAATAGTATATATTTAAAAAAAAACAAAAGAAAAACCATTTTGAACATAAGAATCACACACCAGTCTTCCATGCTTTTTTAAAGCAGAGGATTAACAAAAGCTTTTAGATGTGGATGTTTACCGAACATCTAGAGCAGCAAAATATAAAAGATACTTTTCCCAAGAAAATATCAAATTAATGTTTCATGCTTATTTAGCAACACTGAAACAGGATTAAGTGAGCAGGTTTGCTGGAAAAATATTCCATGCAGCAATCATGGATGACTCCATGGCAACATAGAGATACATACGGGGGACAGATTTCTCCTCACCCACACTAGTCTCTGAGTTGGAAACCTCTTTTGCCCCAGGGGTGAAAAAAAATAAGAATCTTCCATTTAAGGAAGACAGATAGTTAATGCTCTACATATTGATAAGTATGGGGTCAGATCACCAAAGCTCTCAGCTGGGGGGCCTCTGGTCAGATGCTGATAGGATAGTTTAAAGGACTTTGTTGGAATGGGGGTCCGTCAACAAATTGGACCCCATAGATTAAGAAAGGGAGGATTTCAAAAGTCATGAACAGGGAAAAGTGAAAAAATGCTTTTGGAAATACAACCATAAAAAGTTTTTAAAGACAAACAGACTTCAATTTTAGTAGTTGAAGATGTTACACTTTTATTCTAGAGGTTTGGATTTGCTGTGATGTGGATGACTGAGAACCCCCAAATGCATTTTGGCAAAATACTGTAGTGTAATTTGAACACTAATAAAATATGCTTTTTTATATTTTCTTTATGAGCTTAAGATTTGACAAACAAGAAGATGCTCTTTGATTCTAAGTTTTGTTATTTTTTTACCTTTTTTTTTTATATTTATTAGTACATGTAAAGATTGCACAGATCATGTTAAACAAATAGCCACTCTCGTGCAATGATGATCCTCCTTATATCCACAATTGTTAGGTGGGGCATTACTTTTTTCTTCTTTCCTTTTTAACTGAACAAATGAATAAAAGAACATTTGAATGCAAACACTATTGAAGTAATTAAAATTCCAATCCATCTAATCGCATAGGCAACAATAGTTTATAGTGAAATGTTAGGACCAAATAATCTTGTTTAGGTGGAAGCTTTAGTGTGAGTCATAGTTATGAAGTCAAACTACAAGTAAAATATGAAGATGGCATAATACTGATAAGGAAAAAAAACTACTAAGTTAACTCCTAATTGTTTGGAGAAATGAAAGTGCTGCTGTTGAGCATCAAACAGCAATGCTGGTTAAAAAAATTAGAAATTCTAATCTGAATCTTGTTACATTTTCTTTATTATTTAAATTACTCACTTTTATTTAAGGCTTTCAGCAACTTTGCTGAATGCCCAGCTGACTGAGCTAGTTATGTAAAGTACTTTTAATGCCTCTGAAGAGAGGTTTGTTTGGTCTCCAAGCTACTGCCCTCAGATATTTATTCTTACTTTGTTGTCTTAACTGTACAAATTGCCACATATATCTTCATGTGTGCTAAATTGGCTCTTTACTTATAAAAAAAAAAAAAAAAAACTACACTGCTTCTTTGCTGGAAATTTAAAAAACGATTTAGGAACCAGCTTGGATGCATTGCCTGGTCAAAATTATTCATTTGCTTTAGGCAAAAACAAGAAATGTTTCTATTAATTTACGATATACTTGTAGTTTCTTGACTCCAGAAAAGTCAGTTTTCCCAGTTTCTTTTAGCAAAAGTTAGTAGGTTAACAAAGCTTGATTTAACTACACTGTTTTGTTTTTTCACATAAACAGACTATGAATGTATTTACTTTAGACAAATAATATTGATATATATATTCATGGCAAGACAACACTAGCTTGGCTGAAGACACAGCTGGAAAATGGGTTACTGTGGCATCTCTGTTCTTGGTTAAAACACGGCATTTTATTTTTGAGAATACTTCTACAGACATCCAAGTCTGTTCTGGCACGAAAAATGAGATGTGTGGGAGGGACTAAAGAGAAATGCACCGAAAGAAAAACATGTTTTTCTCCTTGTGTGGAGTGCTGCCAAAAGAGCATCATCAGCAGTCCAACTGAAAATAAGATAAGTTTGAGGACGAGAATTAAAGCAGAGAAACTATATAAAAAGTATGTTCCCTGTTAAATCCTGCTCTCTATGAACAATAAAAAACATTAATGTAATGTTTTTGTTTTTTTCTTAACACAGGATTGGTTATCTAAAGATAAGATTTAATTAATCAAATAGAAAAAAATGTCTTGGGGTGTTAATAGAATGTATATTAAGATAAAAATATGTACCCCTAACCTCTGCCTTAGAACATTGATACTGGTTTCATATCCTTTTATGAGAGTGTGTAAAGTTATTCTTTAAAAGAAATGTTTGAAAGCTGTCATATGCTGTCATTATTGAAAGTATAATTAATGGGATTTTTCCCATTAATGTAACTCTTATGCCAGTATTTCAGTCCTGTTATCAGTTGTAGCTTATCTGACATCAGATATTTCTTATTTTTCAGACTGGAGCACTTGTCAGCTGAGTCCCAATGCTGTTTGTGGAAGCGGGATCAAGACCCGAATGCTTGACTGCGTTCGCAGTGACGGCAAATCTGTAGATATTAAATACTGCGAGGAGGTGAGACAGGAAGTTATTTTGATATATCACCATTTATGACTACGCTCCTCTGTTCTGATACTGGCTGAATACTGAATACATCATCATGAAATATTTAGTTTCTCATTCGGAGGTTGTGGGTTTAAAAAGTGATTCTCAGCTTTAACATTTAGCAAACTGATTTTCACCACACCTTTCATTTTTATTCTATGCTTGGTGTAAGAACAGCTTTTTGCATCTTTTAGCCTAGAGCTCCAACATTTTAATGCAATAGGTAGTCTATAGCTGTGGTGTGCATCGTTTAAAATTTTTAATTCTATGCATTTATAACTTCTGTTCCAGCTAAATTTGGAGAAGAACTGGCAGATGAACGTCTCCTGCACAGTTGAGTGTCCGGTTAACTGCCAGCTGTCAGAGTGGTCGGCATGGTCAGAGTGTTCACAAACCTGTGGACTAGAAGGTACATTTATTAACTGGATTTTTGTGTTGCTCTCTTCCACACAGTCAGGCTGCGTAAATGAAGCTGTTCCTTCCAAATAAGTCCTGGTTATGTTTTTAGTGTCCAGCTCAAAACTTTTTTAATGACATGAACAGACCCGCATTAAACATCCCCTGCTTATAGGGGGCTAATTTGTCATGAAAAACTCATAAGCAAAAATAAAAATAAAAAAGAAGAGGATGAGGTTTGTGATTAGGAGAAAGCAGTTCTGTAATAATGACCAGAAGGCATTTGTCCTCCTATTTCCTTGCTTGTTTTGATTCAAGCTTTTCTCACATTGGTTTGCATCTTGTTTTGTGTTTTATTTTTTCCTTTGAGCTCTAGAAGCCACATGGAGATATGTGAAAGGTTCCTAAGGTGAAAGCAGCAAGAGCAGGAAGGGGTGCAGATTTGAGATGTTTCTGTTTGGCTGTGTGGGAGGTTCTCTTGATAAAATCGGATATATGTTTTGACAGTGTGTGTACAGAGGATATGCTGTGTTGAAAGGTGGTGCATAATGGCAGCGGTACATTCCAGGGCGAGTGGATTGTTGTGTGGAAATAAAAGTGGAATATTGAAAAAGAGGAGGGTTGTGAAACTTTGAGAGTGGGTGGTTTAAAGAAGACAGACGGCACAGCTGGCTTGAATTCAGAAATGCCACAGAAGAGTTTTTTGTTGTCTTACAGCTAATTCACCACATCCCCTCTGCACTCAGATCAAACAGGCTCAGAGTCTGTCTGATGCATCAAATTAAACCAGACAAGATTTGCTGATTGATGTGGAATAAAAGCCATTTCACTCAGGTTGACCGAGAACCAATAAAGATTTCAGAGCATAAGAACAGCATTTCAAGCCCTTTAGAGGAACCCTGCTCTAAGTGAAGTGCTGTTGTTCACGGTGAGACTAATTTAATACATTGAAAACAAACAAACACTTAAAATAAGTCGTTTACATGGGAAAGAATGACTGCTGTGCAGCAAACCACAAAGACTTCCACATGTGTTGAAACAGCTTGCATTCAATTCATTGGGCTTAAAAACAAGAGAGTGGTTTAGTCATACATAATTTACATCTCTGTGAGTAAAACCAAAGATGCAAAAATATATTAGCTTTAAAAAACGCCAAAGGTCTCTATAAAAGCTCAAACACAAAGAAAATGTGCTTTTTGTTCTCCCAAGGTAAGATGCGGAGGCAGCGCTTGGTGGTTCAGGCGTCGCAAGGTGACGGCCGGCCGTGTCCTTCCCAAATGGAGCAGTGGAAGCCCTGCCCCGTCAGGCCCTGCTACAGATGGGAGTACAGCCCCTGGTCTGAGTGTCGGGTTGAGGTACGTCGATAAATCATTGCAATGTACAACAATCCACAGACATTAAATTTTAGTAAGTGCATCGACCTCTGGCAGTAGAAAAAAGGAATGCAACTCTGACTGTTGTGTTGGATCAATAAGCGGGAGGGCTGGAGCCAAAAGGATGATTCCTCTAAAAAATAATAGTCTTTAGTATTGATGAACGACCTAATCATATTCCTGCTCGTACTGTTATTCTGCTAGATGGATGGCAGAAATCAATCTAATGCATTTTTAATGCTAAAATGTTACTGAAAACCTACAACTTTGCCAAGAACATTGGCAGCCTGAACTCTTCATTTTGATTTGTTTACCTTTAGGTCAGAAGAATAAAAATGTATTTCAATGTTTTATAAGCAGAGATGGATGAAGCGGAATTTCCGTAGAGATGCAAACAAATACTTCCATTTAACTTGATCAAATATTTTTCTACGTTGAGTCTTAATATGTGAGTTTTAATGTTTTCACTGCAGTTCTGATCTCATACTACTGTCCTTAGGGTTTCCCAATTTCAGCAAAACTGATTGGAAAAAGGGTCATTTCTAAGCCTCTGCTAAACCTGATGAACAACAGAGTTTATTCTGCCATTTGATTTAGATGTTTAGATAAAAGTTGCGAGACACTGGGGCTCAAGGGAAGCTTCCCCCCTTCATTTAGATTTCCCCGGGTCAACAAACACTGATTGAATGAATGAATCTAGCAGAATTGTGTTTTATACTAAGGTGATTATCTAACTATTTATTTCTCTATGTGCATATGAGGGAAACAAAAACAGCCAAATCAAAGCTTAAACAGACATTAAAAAAGGAAAACACTGGGGCAGAAATTCACCTTATATCAGACCCATGAAAACATGCAGCCAGAGCAAGAGTGGAAAAGTTTATCTCAAAGTACATTTCATCTTTTAAAATAGATCATTTAAAGTTCAGCTCCAAAGTTTAGGAATCAGCATAAGCTACAGAGAGGAACATTCTGTCTATAGGTATGAAAAGATGATAGAGACCCCTTCGTCTGTTCCAATTTGCATGTTTTCAAAACAAAAACAAGGCTTTGTTGGGCTACTGTATAAAACCTCAAACTCAACACTATTCCTGACATTTTGAATTGAAAAAGCTTCCTGGATGGGAAGCGAAATGTCTTCAAATTTGGAAACCTAGTCCAGTGGATTGTTTTTCATTTTCTTTTTTTGAAATTAATATGACCTGGATGACTGAGAACCTTCACCAGCAACTTGTCTCTCAATTCAATTTGGTTTATTTATATAGCGCTAATTCACAACACAGGTCATCTTAAGCCACTTTACAGAGAAAATTCAACCAGATCATACAGTCAAATTGAGTCAGAGTTTTCTATCCAAGGAAAACCACTTGGTTATATCGACTCACTAACTCGAAGGGAATCCCTGATACCAAGCATGCTTGTAGCGACAGTGGAGAGGAAAAACTCCTTTAACAGGATCTCTCAGCGGCTGGGATATTCCATCACTTCTTATGGTTTTTCTCTTTGCTCAGAGTGTGGTTTGCGGACATGGGACGCGCTACAGGAACCTGTCCTGCTTTGTGTCAGATGGCTCCAGTGACGGCGAGAGCAGCATGGTGGACGAAGAGCTGTGCAGCAGCCTGGAGTTGGCTGTAAATGGAAACAAGAATATCATACTGAAAGAGGCCTGCACCCTCCCATGTCCAGGTAACACATTACTGCTCAGAAATATGGGGAATATCATTTGTTTGCGAGGCCTGTTTCATCTTGCAAAGGGTTATTGTCAGAACTCCATAATCATAATTTCCGCTTGACAGTACAATGATGTACATTATTCCCATCCTATGCTAAGAATAATGTTGTCTTGTCAGTAGCAAACATTTTTTCTCTACACTTTACTGAATACTAGCAGTACTATTTATGGAAACAACAAAGATGTTATGTGAAGTCACATATAAACCATCCATGACAGGCCTACCACAAAAAGGAAATTGGAGAGATGGTAACAACTCTCCTTGGCACAGCTGTTTGCCTTTCACTCCTGTTTTTCTTGCATTATAATGCAGTATGCTCTGTTTATTGTTTCTCTTACAGCAAACATTGGTTGAATGTTTGGTACATTTATTTTATCATCAATGAAACTGGTGGATTTTTTAACATGAAGATGTAGTTCTTGTTAGCTTAAAAATTGAAAAAAAAAATGTACTTATTGCTTCTTAAAAAGGCCACAAGTTTTGTTTCCATAATTTTTAATGTTTTATTTTTTTTCTGACGGTGTACTTTCAAAGGAAAGCCTTTGATTTGCTTGTTTGGTCAATATAAAATCACAGACTGTTTTTCCCCTTTGATCCGATTTGTGTTCAAATTGTACATTTAAAAAGTGGCCTATAACTCACTCGCAAAGTGTGACGACTGCTGCTCCAAAAGGTCAGAAACTCGCAAAATACAACGGCAGTCCTTCATGCAGGACTTTCGTTTTGCCTCTTTATGCTGTTACGAGTTTCAAGAGCTTATTTAATCTAGACTTAAAGATTTTTTAATTCTTTCACGTCATATAATGACACCTCCAATCTAAGGGAGATCTACTGCTTGCTGGCAGCAGAGTTGCTAAGCAACAGACAGCAGAGCAGGTATGGTTTCTATAATACGTTTACTACTACCTACATCCAAACAGATGTATGTTTCTCTACATTTGGATCAGGCCGAGCTCAGTTTGTAAATATACCTGAAGTCAACAGCCTCAAAGTCTGTTTGGAAGTAGATCAAGATCACTTCAAAAGGTTGATCTCTGTCCGGATGTTTGGCCTGGACCAGAGTTTGCTGGTCTTTAATCGCACCTGCAAAAAAAAAAAAAAAAAGTGTGGACCAAATGTGGCAGGGCGGGATAGATCCTTGATACCAGGCTGCCTTGAATGCTTGCCTTTAATTATATACATTTAAGGACTTTATAAAATTAGCAAATGCAAAGGTTGGGTAATGTAAATGTACAACAAAAAAAAGGGTTAAAAAAACAGCAACTTACACTTTTGCTGTTTTTCTGAAAACATTTTGACACCTATCCAGGAGTATTTGTCCATTCTGTCAGATCGCAGCAGAGCAACCTGTAGTTGGACGGCTGATGTTTCTAGGAGCCATGAACTATCTCTTAACAAAGATGGCTTCCTTCACCCATCTTTCAAACCATTTGTCCAAAAGGTTTTGTCCTTTCTTCTTGAGGTTCAGAGCTGCTATAAGCATGTAAATATATAAGAATAATTTTCTACATTTCTAAGATTTTTATTATAGTTTTCATTTGTTTAGCTCTGTTTACCTTTGTTTCCATACACTGATGTATGACTTCAAAAGATTAAAAAAAAAGAATCTTGAATACTGGGAAGATTTAAGGTTTAGTTAATTTTTACTTTACTCAGTTAATTTTTACTCTGTTAAAATTTTACTTTGGATCCAGTTGGCTCCAAAATAAACTTTTAAGATTTTTTTCTGACTGCAGCAGTTGTTTATGAAGATAATTTATTGACAAGTGTGCATGTTGATTAACTTGCTGTTTAACACTGATTGCTGCTGATCTAAATTTTGTTTTACACCTGCTTTTTTTATTTGGTGAAACTTTAAGGCTCAGGTATTAAAAAGGGCACCTAACTTGAATTAACGAGGTGCAGCTAAAAAAAGTCAATCCAGAGCATTTTCTGCCTCTTGACCAGACTCTCCACTGCAATCCTTCACTTTACATCACCAGCTGTGACTGAAAATCTCCCACTATGGAGTGGATGTGTGATTAGCAACTCTGGAAGAAGTAAGAACCAGATTGCATCTGGTCCTGAATATCTATGGCTTATTTCAAAAGGTTATTTAAAATCCCCTACTGTAGTCACAGGGTAGATTGAACCATACAGCAGCTCTGTGTCCTTATTTGTCATTTCTCAAATAAGAGGTAGACATTGAAATAAACTGATTAAATCATCATATAAATTTATGTGTTTGTCTGCAGCAGCACGGGCCACTTTATCATCTCCTTTTGCAACATTTCAAATCATGACAGCCATATATATTTGGCTCTATTTAAGAGCAGTTTTTGACACATTCCTTTGCTGTACTTGGGATGTTTGATTCAGCTGAAACACAGCCTGTCAGCTTGCAGAGAGCCACCCAAGAAGAGTGTGACATACCAAGGTGTTCACTTGAGCAGCAGTCTGATGAATCCTCACTGATCTCTTAGCAGCAGATGCCGTTAGTGTGTTAAGGTGTTCTGCCAAGCCAGGGGCACCACTGAGAATAGCTGTTTTTGCTTCATGTGGAATTGCAGAATGTCGGCCCATGTCTTAATCCAACAAGATATAAACTTATAAAAAAATATGGCACCTGCATTTTCAATCATCTTCATTAAAGTAATAGTTAATTAGAGAAAATTAAATCAAATTTCTACGGCCATATTTGTGTACATTATGAGACTGAAATCGACTGAAATCAGCAGAACTATCATTCCAGCTTGACTTATTGTTCAGGTAGAAATAGAGATGAGTTTGCAGTATGATGATTAGACAAGGTCAAAGACAAGCAATGCATGTGAAGGGTTCCTTCGTCCAAGAGCCCAACTTAACTTAGTTATTACCCAAAAAAGTATTTTCTATGCAGCATTTAATGCATTTCATTTTGTTCAATACTTATTTCTAAAACAGCTACATCACTTCCATAGTGGACATATTTGTTTTTATTTGGTTTGTTTGTGGATACTTGGGCTGTTTCTGACATCTTGTTTGAATTTTTTGAACATAGAAATATTACAAATATATTTAATGAGAAAAATGTTGACAAGCTCAATATTTATTTTACTCACCGTAAAGCTAAGTTTATACAGTACTTTTGTGCAAGAGCTTGTGAAGCTGATTTCACTGTTTCCCTTTCACTAATGGGTGAAATATTTTTCTGTGTGTCTCTACGGTATATTTGACACTGCTGATTTGTCTTTTAGAAAGTGAAAGCAAACTAAGTGCTCCAACATTGATTTGTATTCTCCTGATGCCAGGGTAAACACAAGCTCTGGGAGATTGTTAAAAATTGTTGTTTCCCACTGCCTTTTTCTTGGGATTGTTTCCTAAAACAGCCTGAAAAATGGTTGTTTTATGCAAACTTTATTGGCATCTGCAGAGTAAGGAACTAAAACACCAGCTAAAGGCAAGAAGTTTGGCTTAAATGAGAATCCTTGTAGAAAGCATCGGTTTACTTCTTTTACATTTTAATAATTGGTTATATTATTAGAGGTATAAGAAAAATTATACAAAAATTGGAGATTCAGCTGTATCTATCAAAAAGCATTTTTAAAGCCCCTTAAGATTTTGATTTTTAGGTTTTATCACAGTTTAGACTTAAAATAACATATCAGTAATAATTATATATGGAACATATGTGAGGTAAGATATATACAGAAACTAGTGTACTTTATTAAAAGAGCATAACATAAAAAATCCTCAGAATTACATTAAAAAACAGTAAGTTATCTACACAGGCTGAAGTAGAATAGGTAGGGTTCCGTTAGGATTATACCCTTTGAGTTATCTAAATAAAATTAGAATTAATCTGTTGATCTAAGATTCAGGAAACTGCAGATGATTAAAAGAAGCAGGTAGACACAGCCTTTAGCTGTTCTCACATCACCCAGCTAAATCCCAGCTGTGTCGCTGTTCAAGTTACTACTCTGTAGCCTCTTAAGAGGATCACGCAACAAAGGATGCTTCAAAAAATTAAGAACAAGATGAACAACCCTGAGCATCCTCCTCAGGAGGCTGGAGTACAACAACAAAGTGACCTAGTCAGATCTGGGAATGCAGCATATTGTCTCTGTCTTACAGCTGTCCCCAACTAATCACTCCCCACTTTCATAAATGGAGTTACTATTACATGTTATTTCCCTTTGGAATAATGGAGATTTTCAATGAACCAAATAAGGCTATTGTGAAATGCAGAATGGGCAAGAAGCTGCAGTCTCTTGATGATAATGGGTTAAAAAGGTTAACCCCAAAAGTCTTGCAATTTGCAGAAATTTAAGGGGAGTTAAGTGTTTTATAAATCTATGTCTGAAATTCTAATCAAATTCCTTCTTTAATTGATTATAATTGCAAGAGAACAAGTTGAATGTGAAAAAATAGGATGGTAATGTAAAAACAAGGAGCCATGGGTTAATCCCTTACTCATGACTGTAAAGTTTCTGCACAGAAGACCTTGTTGCATTGTTTAAAAGACTAGCTTCCCTTTAAACTGTCTGTGTTTATGTATAACTCATGAATGGAGCCATGTCCCACACAGAAGTTAGCTTTTATTATTGAAGGGACTTTGATGAAATTGCAGACATGGAGAGCAACTCAGCGGGTCTACATTCATCAATAAAGATGAAATGTGTGTCAGATCTCCTGTTTTAAAGGGAGACACATATGGGAAGCATTCAATGCATATATTTCCGTCTTTTATTGCTAGTCATGTAAGAATCATCTGGCATTTTACCACCTCCAACTGCCAAAGCTGAAGGCCATAAATCTGTTGTAAGTCGCTGCATTTTAGTTGAACTGGTCCAGTTTGTGTAACTGGTAGGAACTGGTGATTGTCGTTGAGTCGTGGCTGGTGTAACAGATCATTATGTGTCATTGTTACATATCATCACCAAACTACAGAGCCAGCTAGGCCTTACAAATTATATCCTTTTAAGCATTCAAACA